GAAATATTATTAACATTTTACTTCAGAGAAATCATGAATTACATAGGCTTTTAAAGACTGGCCAGAGAAGCCAATCTCTACATTTTGTCTTTAGTGAAACAGAGATAGATGCATTTCAGGTACTACATACTAGTTCATTAACTTTAGACTCTAGAAGTGAACTTTTAGAATGTAATTTATTACCAGGTTGAGGACTGCTTAGATAAGCTTTTGCATTAGACATAAAATGGAATTTCGGGCCGGCCCTGTGGCTTAGCGGTTAGGTGGGCGCGCTCTACTACTGGCGGCCTGGGTTCGGATCCCAGGCGCACACTGACGCACCGCTTCTCCAGCCATGCTGAGGCCGCGTCCCACATACAGCAACTAGAGGGATTTGCAACTATGACATACAACTATCTACTGGGGCTTTGGGGGAAAAAAAAAAAGGGAGGAGGATTGGCAATAGATGTTAGCTCAGAACCGGTCTTCCTCAGCAAAAAGAGGAGGATTAGCATGGATGTTAGCTCAGGGCTGATCTTCCTCACAAAAAAAAAAAAAGGAATTTCTTAATAGATAGGTGGTGATGTTTTTTGGGCAGACAAAATGATCCCTCCTTCCCACTTCTGTGAAGTAAACTCACCTTGTGGAGAACTTACTGCTCTTCTTGCCAATCCAACTAGGTATTTCTAGTGTAGACTGGCCAACATGGGACCTTGGCCACTGAGTGGGTGTATGGCCCCAATCTGGACCAGCATGAGTTTTTCTTGAGAATTTTTAAAATTACAATCATAGAATAGTACCTCTTAGTGGCAGAGCTGGGAATTAAGTGAAAGAAGGCGGATTTCAGGAAAGGAGAATGAAGCAAACCTATAGAAGCAAAGATGCCATCTTGTCCTGGTAGAGTTCATTTTGAATTGATCCTAAAGCCCAGCTACCCCTATGGCTGTCTGGCGGCTGGGTTATTTAGAGTCAATACATACTACCTGGCTTTTCCTGCACTGCTTCAAGTGCCATTTCTATAATCTGCAAGTTAAAGAGTGCTGACTAATTCATTTGGTTGTTTATGCTTGAAATATTTAAGAAGTCAGTGTCTTGGGGCTGGCCCAGTGGTGCAGTGGTTAAGTTTGCATGCTGCGGTTAGGTGGCCCAGGGTTCACGGGTTTGGATCCTGGTCGCAGACCTACACACCGCTCATGAAGCCATGCTGTGGCGGCGTCCCACATACAAAATAGAGGAAGATGAGCACAGATGTTAGCTCAGGGCCAATCTTCCTCGGCGCCCCCCCCCCCCCAAAAAAAGTCAGTGTCTTTGTCATGGGCAATTATAATAAATATAATTGCATAGTAGGACATCTGATTTATGACACAGCTTTTTGAGAATGATGGTAGTGTTTATTCCCTCTCATAAAAGCAGAAATGTATTGGCACTAATCAAAGTATACTAGTGACTCTGTGTGTGTGTCTATGATAATGACTCTTGGCAGAGGCATGTTGTAATACAAATATGTAACTTTTGACTTTAAACCATATAAGCAAATGTATACTTATGATAGTTCTAGTAGTTATGAGTTTCCTTGAAAAACTGCATTTTGAAAAACTAAATGAACTGCCTTGAAAAACTAAGTGGGTACCATTTATGCATTTAGGAGCACTTGTAGGTAAATAGGTAGATGTTTGTAGCTATACCATGTACACTGGGAGAGAGATTCATATTTAAGAAGTTAGTAATTTGGCAAGATTGTCAAATATGTATGCATGTGTTCCTTGCTTGAAAGGGAAGATAGAATGACTTATTGCCTCTGTTCTCTTCAGTGAGTTAGTGTTTAGAGAACTGAGATTTTATATGACAACACTCTTTTGTAAACTCGACTTCCCTTTAGTAAGTATCAGATTTGCTTTCTCAGTAGTAGCATTCTGTATTGTTGGAACATGTAACGAGCAAAGAAAGGTGTCTGCCGCTTGGGTTTTGCTTGCCAGCTGGTTTGAACAGCTATAATATTTGTTTATTCTTGATGTCAGCAGTCAAAGGGAAAGTTTTCCTTTCTCCTTTGTGGCTGTTATATAACTTAAACATCATTACATCAACAATGACTATTTATTCAGAATCTGCTAGGTCCTGGGGTATATAAGGCCTCTGAAGCACAATCTCTGCCTCAGATGGACTTGTGTCATCTGGTGAGAGAGAAAAGTCAGGGATCTCAGAAAGATGCAAAGGCACTCTAAGTTAGTTGTGAGATGGAGGCATAAAGAATCAGGTCTGTAGCATTTGAAGGAGAGGAGAGATCCCCAGGGTTTGGGCCAATGAGGAGGGATTCCAGGAGAAGGAAGCGTTTGAGTGGGTCTGGAAGGTGGTAACTAGTAAGAAGAGTGAGCAACGGTCATCAGACCCAGGGTATGGTGTGGTCCCAGGTGTGGAGGTGATAATGTGCCAACTGGTTTAGGGGAACAAGTAGACCAGTTGGGTTATTTGGCAGAGGGTTTTTTAAGTGGAAGATAGGGATTGGAGAGGTGGAGGCCAGCTGCACATCATGGCATTGGGCTCGTGGGCTAATTGTCACTTTTTTTTTAAACTGTAGAATGACAGTCTTTGTACTTTGCCTTTTAACTTGAAGCAACAAAGACATCCTAGAAACAGTTGTCCTTTTTCTATTATGAGAATGTTTTAACAACGTTGGTACTGGTGTTCTTTTTGAAGCATAAGGATTATTGGAAAAATCTTTTAAGTGCTTTAAGTTATGATTGTAGGTGAACACATTTATGAAGCTCTCCTTCGTGAACAGAGTACCTACTCTGTGAATTTTAAGCTTCACTTGATCCTAGACAATAGAAACAAACTAGATTATCTCTCTCTTTCCTGTGTGTGCTTTCTTTCCCTTCCTCTTTCATGTATCTCAGTGTATCTATATATGTCTGTGCACACATAAAATTGCATTTTTCAGACTGCAGTGTTATGACGTTTACTGAGTTGCTCAAATACACGTAGGTTTAATATAGTCTTCTCATATAAAAAAGCTGCTGTCCTTGGTATAACAGTCAACAATTATCAGTTTGCGGAGTATAATTGATTGTAATAGTTTTGTAAACAGAAAATCAGTATGCTTAAAATACATATTAATTTTCATGAATGTTTGAGGAAAGTTGTCTATAAAGCAGATGTTTTCCTTTTGAACTCTACTATGAAACTATAGTTGTTTGATTGATAGAGTAAAGGTTTATGACATGATGGCATGCTAGACTTTGACATTTATCATGTGATGCTGATGATGTGTTGGGAGCACAGAGGGAGGGACCTGGCACCTGGAACAGCAGTTGGGAGACACTCAACCTCAGTAACCGTGACGTGAGGAGATGAATGCCTGAACCAGGAGTGGAAAAAACAGTGCAGATGTGAAAGACACTAGGAAGTTGTCATCATACCTGTTGATAGTGAATTGTCAAAAGAGAGGGAGGGAGCTCACTTGATTCCAGAATTTAACTTCAAGTGTCTAGGACAATAAGATTACCTTCTTGAGGAATATGAGAGTCAAGAGAGATTTATCGGCTTCATTCTCTAGGATACAGGCCCAGTTTATGCCTGTTACTAAGGATAAATGTTAGGTTATAGGCTTATCTTGTGCTTGCCCTTTTTGACCATAAGTTGGTCTTCCAACTGGAAGAAGTCTTAGATATCTTCAGAGAGAGATGAAGCAGTTTACCTAGGGCCACACACCAGGTCACTTCCTGGCGGAGCTGGGATTAGGATGGGAGCTCTTGACTCCCGGTGCAGTGCTCTTTCTACTCTTCCATGCTGGTTTGGAGAAAAGAATAGCATTTTAGAAAGGGCTCTTGACCTCACTTTAGATCTTATCTTTGGCTAATGAGTATTTTGAAAATCTTTGCCTGTAGCATGACTGGTTCTAAACAAATATGAGGAAGTTAAACTTGGGAGATCTTCTCCAAAGCCAAGAAGGTTTAATTTATAACTTAGAAAAAAATCTTCCTCTGGAGAAACTATCTACCCTCACTAGTAAACAACTCATTTCTTAACTGGTCCTTGGGACCTAGCAGCTCTATAGTCTCCTGTAATTTGCCAATTCCCAACTACTTAGTTTCTTTTAAATATCTTTATTCCAAAATAATGTTTAGGGCACAGTGACCCAGATAAGAATGAATATTTCCAAAATCACTCTTACTTTTTTAAAAGTTGGTTTAATTTGACATAAATAAAATCATTCCAATTTTAAGCCTTTTTTTTTTTGCTACTAATAAAATTTCTATTGTATAAGAATACCAAATCCAAGAATCCTAAACCAAAAGTTTCTTCACCACTTAAATAAGGGACTCAGACCATGCAATACCAATAACTATTTCAGTTCTAGAATTCTTTGGATATTTTAACATTGAAAAGAATAAAAAAAAAAGTTATGGGCCAGTTTGTCCACAATTTTGGCGATTCTGATTCAAGACTGAGAGGAGCAAGACAGCAGTTTTTGAGCGCCTACTCTATGTCGAGCTCGGTGCCAAATACTTTGCATGTATTATTCCATATAATCTGCCCGGCAAACTCTGTTAGGTGGGCATTTTACCCCCCTCATTGCAGATAATTAACTTGCCCAAGGTCATAGTGTGTCAGAGGTCAGGTCTGAATCTGCTTTGATGCGGGATCCCACGCTCTTTACAACCAGGATCTCTGCCTAACTCAAGAACTTTTGCTAAGTAATAGAAATTAACGTACATCCACGGGTCAAATATCATAACAAGATTAAGCCTTGTTTCGTAAAAGTTTAAAAAAAGGCAATCTGTCATTTTCTTGAAGTTGTTAAAGGCTGAAGTTAAAAAAAAAAAAAAAAAGCTGTAAAAGGCTCCTAAGCCTGATATAAATCAAGAAAGGAAAGTTCCGCCTTAACTGACAGTGAACACGCTTATTGGTAGGATTGCACGGGCTGACTCATTTCTTTTTTGCTGTGTTAGAAGGCCGCACCCTGCATACCGAAAAACCTCTGCTGTCGGCCACACTGGCGGCCTCCCTGCTGGAGCCCCAGATTGGACTAGGCGGCCGTGCTCGCAGCTGCCCCCCAGAGAGGGCCCGCCCTCCCGCCTGCCGGGGCGCAAGGCTCCCCACCGCCGCCGTCCTTGCACGCCGGCCGGGCAGGCAGCGGGGCACGCCCCAGGGGCGGGGGCTGGGGGTCGGCGCGCCGCTGACCGCCTGCGCCTCGCCACTTGCGCCGGGGCAGGCAGCGCGCACAAACTTGTTGCCCAGGGAACTTTGCCGGAGACTTTGCCTCCAGGGCGGAGAGACCGTAAGTGTTGCTCCTTCTGAGATGCTGTCGTTCATTAAAATGCTCTCTGGGGGGAGGGGGGTGCGTTGTAGCGCTCAGAGACGGAGGGACCTGGTTAAAAGCAGGGAGAAATAGCCTTTCTTGCCTTGCAGAAAACACCCAGTAACGCAGTCGTTGTGCCATTCCCTCCACCTCGCGAAGTAAAGGGAATCTTAGTTTTTACTGGATTCCGCGTTGATGATGAAATGGGCAATAACTATTTACACCTGAGAACGCTGACAGTGTAGTTGCTGAAACATGGGTCAGGGTGTAGGTAGGCTGCATCATCAAATGCTCTCAATTTTGTAGGGTGCTTTTGAGAGCCAAGGATCAGGGGGTGGTTTCGGTTTGGGGTTATCACGTTTTCCTAATGGAGAGAGTTTTTGAAGGAGTGAGATTGTATTTACAGTTTGGTTACTGAGTTTGGGGGAAGTACTCACTTTTGAAAATTTCCCTCTCTGTACGAAAGGGACTTTCAGCTAACTTGTCGGCTGGTTGGGAGCTAGTTGGTGAGTGAGATGTGTTCAATGCCAGAAGGAAGCACGTGCGCACCATGTCTTGAAATGAGCAGGTTTACTCCACAGCTGTGCTTTCTATTTATTGTGGCCAGGTAATTGCTCTTGTGGAATTTGTGAAAATGAATACACTGAGTAGAATGCATGGCGCTTGCGGTTTTTTTGTTGTTTTTTTCTATTTGTGTTGCTATGTGTAGTTGTTACTTAAGTTGTACGACAATGGGAATCGGGAGACTTAAGGTCTGTTCCCATTCCACTCTTAACCCTGTTGAGTTATCACTTTTAAATTTAGAAATAAAGTCAGTGAGCTCCTTAAGAAATCTGCTTTTTATGTAAGAAGTTAGCAAGTGAATAGAGCTTTGTATGGTGCAAGTAAATTATTTTCTTGCAAGAGGATAGGGAGGTAGGGGACAGGAGAAGCAGAATCTTGTGATTATTGCTGTTTTGCTAAGGACGTACACAGTGTGACAGACACGTATCACCATCAGGAAGCATGGACTGTACTGGAAAGGCAGGCTGAAGACATCCCAGTAGCATAAAGGGGGACAGGAAAATTATAAACTGAATTATAGTTACAAATATGAATTATGAAGTTATGAATAGTATTACACTTCCTTCATTTGTGAAGATATAGACTCTAATGCAATAGAGTGACTCTAACAAAAAGAAAGAGTGAAGTTCTTTGCAGCTGACTTTTTTAAATCTATGAAGGAAACTTCTCTAGAAAGAAATCACTTCTAAGTGGAATAATTAAGATAATTTGTTAGAATTTTTAGTTACACTTTGAACTCCTAGTGACACTGTTTCCAAGCTTATAGGCTGATTGTTAAGCTCACTTGCTTTAAGTTGAACTGATCAAGTGCCTCTGTGTGAGCGAGAACAGGTTGGGCTCCCATTTCTATTGGGAAACAGCCTGTGATGTTGAAAGAAGTGGCCTTAAGTCCACTGGGGTAGTTGGAAAAGCTCCCTCAGGTGGTGAGAATGGGAAACTGTTAAATCTCTGAAATGTCTAAAATCTAAAGGGATAATTAAATTTGGATTTTGATTTGTTTCCCCTAATAGTTCTAACAGAGCCGATCATGTAAGGGCCTCCTTTTTATCAGGCACTAGGATGCTTTGCACCCACTACCTCATTTAATTTTCATCATAATGCTGAGAGCTAGGGGTATTATTATCTCTGTCTTATAATTGAAGAAATAGCCTGAGCAAGGTTACATAATCTCTAAATTTTACAGCTAGTTAATTTAGTTTACACTAGAAGTTAGCATCTAAGGTTTGTGATTTTTCCCACGTGACTCCAATTGCTCCTAACATAGTGTTGATTTTTCTGTGTGAAATAATCCAGAGGAGGTTCTTGGTTCAAAGCAGATTTTTAAGTGATTTTAAAAGTTCCTCATTGTCCCAGTGCCAAAATATCAAAGTTCAAGGAATAATGCATTTACTCTGGAAGCTTGTGGTTTTCAACTATTAACTAAGCAAGCCCTATTCTCAATGAGCCTGTTAATATGCATGGCTGCCTCATAGTTGCTGATTTTTGGTAACTTTCTCCTGTTTTTTTCTGAAGCACTTTTAGTTTTGGGCGTGCATATTCTTCCTGCTCCTCACAGAGTGCAACTGAGGCATTCTCTAATTGTAAGACCAAGCAGCTGGTCTGTGGACTTCCAGTGGTTGAATTATCTGTGTGCGTGCACACCCGAGGTATTTTGTTTGCCATGTGAAATGTTTTTGAATTTCTGTTAGCACTTAGGTTAGTGTTGAACTTGTTTAAGAATGGTGACGTCATGAATGTCACACTCTGTGAGTGCTAAAACTTTTCTTGTGAGATGCAGGTGGGAAAGTCTCAGTGTGTCTCAGCAGGGGCAGCCCATTCTGAGAGAGTGCATCTGCTACATCATCTGTTGGGATGTCATAGTAAGAGACAACAATGCCGCCTTCTTAGGAGACCGTGAACTACAGCATCTATTCTAGGACCGGGGATTGCTCACACCCTCACCTCATCATTCTCACTATGTATTTGACATGGAACGCTCACCCACCTTCCCAAGCAGAGCATGGATGCCTTGACCTCCTCCTTAAACCTCTCTGAATCCTAGCTGCTTTAAGTGACTTGAGTTCTTGAGGATGTTTAAATGACATGCCAGTGTGATGATAAAACCGCTTGGGGGTGATCTTGCAAAAGTCACGGAGAGGAGGAAGTGTGCCAGACAGCTTGATTTTCAAAACTGGAGAGATGGTAAATTCTGGAAACTTTAGGTTCAGAGCTTATGTTGGTGTCTAGCAGAACTGTAAATCACATTTTTGAAGAAATGGATTGGGGTCACTTAGAAAAAGTGGTGGTGATCAGTACTAGCATCACTCATTTACAATTGACTTCATTTCTTTTTTGATAGTTACTGGACAAGTACATCGGCATTGCCATAGATATGACATACCTACTTCAGCAAAACATTTAATAAAGTGCTTTGTGTTCTTTACTCAAGATTCACAAATGTGGGTTGGACAGCACTATAGATAAGTGCGTTTGTATCTTGTCATATCCAAAGAGGGATGATCAGTAGGATGATGTCAGACTTGAGTAAGGTGCCAGCACTGTGCCTTGACGAGGGCACTTGATGCAGCTGGAGAAACAAACGCATTAGTAGAGATAGAGTATTTAGCACCAAGGAGGTGATAATGCCACAGTTCTTTGAAGCACTGTAGATAAGACAAGCCTGACCTTGGGCAAGTTATGTGAGCGTTGTGTGCCTCAGTCTCTTCATTCATAAAATGCAGGTACCTACCTCATACAGCTGTTGAAGGTGTTGAAGGATTAAATTAGGTAATCCATGTGAAGTGCTTAAAAACAGAGCCTGACAGCAAATTGGATGTGTTAGATGTTAGTCTTTTGTTGTTGCTCCTACTTTTATGACTTGAGGAAATGTTGTGCACATTTCTGGGTTTGTGTTTAAATGTGTGTCCAGAATGGGGTAATCAGGTTTTGGAGAGGCTCTAGAAACTGTTTGAACAGTGGTTGAAGACACTGGGGAAGTATAACTTGGTATGAGACAGAACTTATATCCTGTAAAGTGAAATAGAGATGGTCACATTCTGGATTCTGTACATTTCATCTGGTCTAAAAAGTGCTTTCTCTTAAGAAGCTGTAGCTTGGTATAAGAGAAACCTTCACTAAACTAGGATTTAGAAGAGCTCTTTCCTAGTATCAGTACAATCTTTAACTAGTTATGTGATCTTAGGCAGTTAGCTTAACTCAGTGGTTCTCCACAGGGTGCAATGTTACTCCTCAGGAGACCTTTGGCAATGTTAGGACACATTTTTGATTGACACAACTGGGGTGGCAAGGTATGCTACTGGCATTTAGTGGGTGGAGGCCAGGGATGCTGCTTACATGCTGCAATGCATAGGACAGCCCCCACATCAAAGAATTATTCTGTCCAAATGTCAGTAGTGCTGAGAGTGAGAAACCCTGGCTTAACTCTTCAACGTATGTCTCTCTCTTTGTGAAATTGGAATACTAATCTTTGCTTTAGCAACATCACAAAGTAGCTTTAAGAGTATATTTATGAAAGGGCCTTTGAGAGTTAATGTATTCTGAAATCTGCAGATGTATACCGCATACACATTTTATCAGCAGCAGCACAGTAAAATATCATTTTCTCCATTCCCTGGAGGAATATATTACAGTGGTTTGAGAGTCAGATAAGCCTATGCTCGAATCTCAGCCCTACTGAGTTAACCTGCTGTGTGATTTGGGGCAAGTTTCTTTATCTGTGAAAACTCAATCCCTATTTCAGAGTTTGGAGGAATAAACAAGGTATGCTTGTAAGTCTTATAGCATGGTCCTTAGGCACAGTGGTAAGCTCTTGTTTTTTATATTAACATGAGGGGCGGGGGGTAATGGGATTGAATGGTACTTCTTAAAATGTAAGATTTGGAAAGAGAATGAATAAAGAAATTGGATTTTTAATAGTTAAAAGACGAAAAATGAAAAGGCTTCTTGTCCTCAGAATTGAGGAGAGGTAAATGTCTTTGGAAGTGTTACTTTGGCCTTGTAGGGAAGGGTGAACATAATATCCACTAAGGTGAGAAGCCTTTATTAGAAGGTGGGGATGAGTTGCATGGAAAACCAGAGTCATCTACTCATATTAGCCTGGAACTAGCCAAGAATGTAATTTCTGTATTTGTGAATTGCTCAATTATAAAAACTTGTAATGTTTGTTCTTAAGCAGTGTAATTTGCCCTATTTTTTTCATCTTACTCTTGATGTTATGGTTTCTTATTAATTATTTTCCAATGCCTTAAGATGGAAGCAACACACCCAGCCAATGTATGTGCAAGTGTGTCAACTTTGCAGTCTTAGTGATTTCCTGTACCCTCTCAGCCTCCCTACAAAAGATAAAGCTTTCATGTGATCACTTTTTTGTCACCTCCAGTCATGTATCAGCTATGGAACTAGGAGTCTGGAGACCA